CACAATTCACAAACTCAGTTCCAACTTCTGGTTTTACATTCTGGCCTTGCTGACTATGACAATAAACCAGGAAGGCAATGAGGCCTGGTCACCATTTTTTGATGGCTGAGTTGAATTAAAAGATTAAAAAAAAAAGCATTCCTTCAACTTCACTCGCTAAACAAATTTACCCCACAAGAGGCAATAAGTCTAAAAGGTTGAACTATTTTTTTTTATTACAAGAGAAGAGACAAATTATCAGAGGGGTCTTTCTATGTTTTTTGAATGGGACTTTGTACAAAAGCAATTTTTTTCCAATGCCATCTTTCAGAAGCTGTTATTTTATAGCCATGTATAACCATGTATTTTTTTCTGGTGCCCTGCATCTTATATATACATTTTTCTAATTTGGGAAGGGGAAGGAAAATAACAAAATACTGAAACAAGGATACAGGTTGACCCATTGTAACAATGAGATGTACAAGACACTATGTTGAAAATGAACTTTACAACCTGGCAGGGTGGGAAGGGAGGAGTTGGGGAGGGAAGGGATGGTAGGAAAAAACAAAGGAGGGGGTAACAATGCTTGATAGGAAATGTACTCATTACCTTACTCATGTAACTGTAACTCCTCTGTACAGTATCTTTACAATAAAATATATTAAAGTATAAAAAGGAAGCCAAAAAAACAAATGTTTCCATTTCTTGTTTTACATATATGTATTCACTTGATAAAATTAGTTTCAGATTTATAATTCTTGAAATTCCACACCATTGGAGCTTTGTTCATGAACAGTGCTAGAATGGGGGAAGTTGGCCTTTGGTCTACAGAAATCCCTCATGTCCACTGTTAGCTTCTCCTTTCCCTCACTCTACCTTTAGGTATATATAAACACACAACTTCACTGTCTACCTGCAGGAATAAACAGCCATCCATAGCTACTCTTTAAAACTAAGGGTGGCAAAAATGACTTGTGATCCACTAGGAAAGCAAACCCAGGTAGATCTCTAATGTCCCAGAGACCCAAAGGTACAATTTGTGTGTGTGTGTGTGTGTGTGTGTGTGTGTGTGTGTTGGTTTTTTTTTTTTTTTTTTCATTTTTGGCTTGGATAAGTTCTCATGACAGGGGTGAGATCAAGGTCAAGTGAGATGATTGGGATCTCTAAAGATCAGAGAGAAAAGCAAAGCAAAGGCCCTTCCCAAACCTGCTCCCCACATCACCATGGATCTGGATCAGCAAATCCTAACTAGAATCGATTTCAGAGCAGCAAGCAAGCAAAATACTGAAAATTGAACAAACCGGAGTCTATAGTCATCTTGAAATTTCAGAACACATGCTACTGTAGACTGAGAAAGAGTGTTAAGGGATATATAAACCTGGATCAAAGAGGATTTTTGTAACAGAAAGAGAAAGAGAGAGAGAGAGAGAGAGAGAGAGAGAGAGAGAGAGAGAGAGAGAGAGAGAGAGAGAGAGAGAGAGAGGAGAGGAGAGGAGAGGAGAGGAGAGAGGTTTTATATAATCTGAGGTGAAGATCATTACAGTATTGACTGAGGTTTAGGCAGGATTATTTATTACCTCATCATTTTTTAAAAAGTAAGAATTAGAGAAAAATTAGAGAAAAAAAAATATCCCCTTGATGTTTCACTTGCAGTGGGTTACTTGTTCACTGGGTGTGGATATGTGGCCAGAAGTACTGATTTGGAAAAACTAAAGTCACCTTTTCAGTGAGTATCTTAGAGTTCTGACTACACATGCAGAAGTAACTGGAGCACATAAACTGTGTGGGGACAAGATGAGACAGAGCTGACCTTCTACCTTGCTATTTGTTTTGTTTTCAAATCTCTGTTCATTGTATGTTGTAAGCTGAGGTAAATGTTTCAAGCGTGTTTACAACACTTTTGGAAAATGCAATGGGAAATTTGATCCCAGGGAGGAGTTGTCTCTGGGCCAGCTGAGATTTTTGTTTAATAGAATCTCCAACTGGATCATAAAAAATGATATCTTGTCATTAGAAGCAATAATACCAAAGTTAATCCAATAATTTTTAATAATGAAATCTGTTCTGTGAGATATGTTGTAAATTATCTTGCATTTGGAATGCTAGCTTTGAATTGTTCTCAGAGATTCAAAACAAATTTGCACAAAGCAAAGGATTTACCTTGGAAATATCTTTTTTTGAAAGTATGCTGAAACATATTAGATTGTCAAATTCTCCTTAAATTGTAAAATATGTATGGAAGAATTTAGCATATAATAAAATGTTCTTAGTGTTATGCTCTGGAATGGTATATATTTGTCAATTTTGACTTGAATATATTTACTAATCCATGTCAAAATAGCATTAGCTCTATTTTGTAGATTTATCAACATTTGCTTGTTTGTTTGTTTTTCACCAGTCCAGGGCCTGAACTCAGGGCCTGCATGCTGTCCCTCAGCATTTCAGCTCAAGGCTAGTGCCCTACCTCTTGAGCCACAGCACTACTCCCAGCTTTTTCTGCTTATATGGTGCTGAGGAAGACCTAGGGCCTCATGCATGCAAGACAAGCACTCTACCACTGAGCCACCTTCCAAGCCCTCAACATTTGTTAATAGATATCATATTAAGTGATGTTTTTACCAAATGATACAGCTTCAGGACTGATGGTATCAAAATTCAGTGGTAGATATGTTTGTCTGAGCTGGTAATTTGGTAATTCTAAAAATCACTATCTAGTACTTCTGAATGGCTTGAAATGTGCAGTTGGATTTTAATTAATTTTGCTTTTGGATTTTTGTTCATAAATGGAAGAATTTTGTTCTTATATTATTTCTATTATTTTTTATCACATATCACTATTATAATATTTATTATTTAATGCTTTCTTTATCTGAGTGTATAGTGGCTTAATTTAGTAGCTTAAATTTGTAGCTTAAATTTATAGATAAATGCACTTGTCTGCCTTTTTTTTTTTTTGATAAGGCAGAACTGAAGTATGAACTCAGGGCCTTGAGTTCACAAGGGAAGAGCTTTACCACTTGAAACTCACTCTTTTCTTCTTATATTTTTTATTAGACGCTTTCTTTCTGCCCCAGCTAACCTAGACTAGAATCCTTCTATTTAGGCTTCTTATGTAGCTAGGGTGACAGGTAAGCACCCAGGTTTTTTTTAATTGATTAAGACAACTATATAAAATATTTGCTTGAATGGCCATTAACTTCAGGCTTCCTGATCTCAATCTCCCAAGAAGCCATGAATATAGGACTGAGCCTCCACTCCCAGCTGCATTACCATTCTTCATGTCAGTACAAATTAATTTTTATTTTTTCTTGGATGTTTAGAAATCACTATCTCATTAATTAGTAAATTTTAAAGTAAATGTCTAAACTTATCTTTATGGATCAAAAGGATACAGCATTTTCTATTATATCTGTCCTGCTAATATTTAATCTGGTATGTTTTCAGATATACTCATTGATCTTAAGAAATTATGATTCTAAATAATTTTCTTTGGAAAATAATTGTGTGATAGGCTATTTTAGCAACTATCTTAAGTAAAAGACTGTAATAATGGCAGATGTGAGTAACTGGAAATAGATCAATGACCTGAATAGAAACGCACAATCCCCTTAGATGGAATTATAGCAGTAAATCTGCATGTGTTTGGTTTTGGCAAAAGATTTTTAGATATCATAACAACAAAAATTGTATTGTGCATAATTATATGTATTTATATGAAGGATATATATTATATATGGTATAGTTATATATAAGTACAATTTGTGCATACTATATTAGAGCTCACATGAATTTATCTCTGCCACTTAATACTTTGAGCTGCTTACTCGTATGCTACTGCAAAACAACTATGAATACTATATACTCATCATCTTCTATTTTAGTGGTTCCAGGGCCTCTTACTTGCTAGGCAGGCACTCTACTACTTGAGCCAATGCCTAGCTCTTTGTGCATTATTTCTTTAGTTTCCTTTCACCTCATCTATACTCAGACTACAATATTCCAACCTATTTGTCCTACATAGATGGGATGTAAAATATATATATATATAACAATGCTTGACATAATCTTTGTGATAGAGTCTTACTGATTTTTTAAAAAATCTGGTCCTGCCTCAAACTATGATCCTCCTGTCACAGCTTCTCAAGTAGCTCGGATTACAAGCATGAGCCACCTGACTAGCAGCAATAATGTATATTAGTCTTGATTACTAGAAAGGCAATTATTCAATAGACTGTAACTAATAAATCAATTTTATATTTATATTTGTTTTCAGAGGTTTTAAAGTCTTAAATATATGAATTCTCTTCCAAATAATTGTGACATATTTACGTTTTCCTCATTAATGAACTAAAATCATTTGCCATGTTTTCATGTTTTTGTCTTGAAGTTGTATTTGTACCTCTTTTCAACATTATCTTTAAATAATTGTTTATACTTTTTCTTTCTACTCCTTGGAATACAGTAGAAGGAGATAAATCACATAACATTTACATACTTTTAGGCTTTTTCCTCTTTTTTTATTGTCAGTACTGGGGCTTGCACACAGGGACTCATGCTCAGCTTGCTTGCTCATGGTTGGTATGTGAGCCATACTATCATCCTACCATTTTACTGGTTAAATAGAAATGGAGTTTCACAGCTTTTTCTGCCCTGGTCCTTCAGGACTCATCCTCCTGAATAGCTATAATTATAGCTCACTAGAGATATAATTACCTCTGGGCTAATTCCCTCTAGCTTACAGCATAAGAAGTCATTTGTTAACATTATAGTTTGTTTAGATATTTTGACCTGAGAAAGCATTGTGTAACTTTTCCTTAGTTTATTACTGGTTTATTGAAAAACTCCAGCAGACATTTTAATAAGACAAATAGACACAAAGTCAATGATTGCAAGAACCATTCCACTGATTTTTGTATTTTAAACATAAATGGATCATTTAACATCCAAGTAAATATGAAGATAAAACAACTTAAATTTATAGTTCTACTATTTATATAAAATCAAACTAGAGACATTTTAGGCATGTATAACATGAGTTATTTTAATTAATTAGAATATCTTGAATATGTTTAACAGCTGTTTCTATTAGCAGATTAAAGTCAGGATAAAATTAAAATAAACTCACATTAAAACTTATAAGCAATAAATACAGCACTACAGCTGCTCCTAATTCTATATACATTGGATTATAGTTGAATAAACAATAAATTCCAAAATGAGTATTTTTATGAATTTGCCCACTAGAAAGTAAACTTTAAAAAAAAAATGACAGAACAGAATTTTTTAGACAATTAAAATGAGACTTCCACAAGTAATTCCAGAAAATGGCCGAGCTATTATTTTAAAAGCTATAAATTTGCAAACATTTAGATTTTAGATACTAAACAAGATTGCTTTTAGAAAGTATCAGATTAATTTTCTTCACAAGTAATGCATAAAGATCACACTTAGCTCTTCAGATCTAAAGATGTCTAACATTCAAAAATATTATTCCTCAAAAATATATTGGTACAGAATTAATACTGATTAATCACAGTCTGTTACGGTTGAAGGTGGTACAGCAGACAAACCTTGGCAATAAGAAAAATAACTGCATTTAACATGTTTAAAACACAATAGAAATACTTGATAATTACAGTATCATTTTAACACGTTCTCTTATAATTCAACATTTCCTACTGTCATTTATGGCTAAAAGTTGACAGCTGGTCTAGAGTATTGGCTGAACTACATATGAACATTGTCAGTAAAGAATATGAATCTGTATCTTTGAATAATAAATAACAAAATTAATTTTAGTAAGAGAAATTGTACTATAATTTAGACAGTTAAAATTGAGAACAACCTGCATTCCTTTTAATAATAACTTGCTATGAAACCCATAAGTTTGATACTAATGTAATGATACCTTTACATGCATAGATAAATAACAAGTGTATTTATTAGGCCATTTATTATCCCAATTCACATTAATTTGACAATTTTAAATAAAGGTTGAACTTATCTCCTGAAGATTTGGGAAGCAATTTATGATGACAGATCTCTAATCCATTTTCAGCTGATTGACATACTTCCAAAACAAATACACATGATTTCTTCCCAAATTTGCTTTAACTAGTTGAACTTCTTGTTCTTCAGACATTCCAGTGGAAAATAACTGAATAGAATAACTGAATCATCTTAAATGTCACTTTCTTTTATTAGAGAGGCTGTCTTCCACCTTAATTTAATTATCCCATAGGTGTCTGATGATTCTTCCTCAATGAATCATTCAAGTCTTAGTGATGTGTATTATCATATATAGTAGTCTATTAAATATTGGAACATTTTTATAGTATATATGTTCTATTGCTTTTGTTTTTCCTTTAGTAAGGTGACATGCTGCCAATGCATGTATCATCACATAGTAAAAGTCAACAAATTAATTTAATGGAGCAAAATTTGCAAGGGTAACACACTGGCATTTATTACAGTAGTTGTGAATTTTTTTTCTGGATTTGATTGAGCTCATTATCAAAATGGAAGGAGAAAATTTTAATTCTTCAAAGATGACATGTCAAAATAATAGCCTGACATTTAAAAATAAATATTTTATTTCTCACCACAGATGTCTCTGACTTTTTAAGTTTCTATACTAACTTCTGATGCTGGTATCTGGTTGTCCTTACAATATTTACCAAATATAGAATTCCAGATTCTATGTTGTAAAATCTGCCCAGACACAATATCAGGTATGACATTCTTCTATCATTGTATTATGTATCTGCTTTAAAGCAATTACCTTGGTTGTCTGTATTTGATTTAACACTATAAAATAAAACATGGATTATTCACAAACTCATTTCCCACAACAATCTTTTTGTACAAATGTCCAAGGTAATATGAAATCCTTCATTGATTTCCTTCATGTAAAATGATAACTAAGTTGTCTACATAGTAGAAATTGAAGGGTCAAGGTCTCTATTTACAGATACAGGGAAATTCCCTCCCACTTGTGTAGTAAGCTAGGGAAGTAGCTGAGGACAAGGATATCTCCTGATCATACAGAAGTAGGATTGCATATAGTACATCCTATTTATTAGATCTCAACAATGATTTGTCTCAGGATGTAATTGTGCTGTATCAACAAGTGGTTAGCCTATGGTAGAATTAATGCTTTAGTACATTTGAGAAAACACTACATGAAGAGGTCCAGTGACATAGTGTATGTTTGGTTTTATGTGTACATATACGTATTCAGCCAAAGAACTGCACCTTAAGTGGGAGAAAGACTGTGTATATAAGGGGACAGGAGTGGAGTTAGACCCATTGCATATATGAACTTGCACGGTCATTCACTGGTGATTTCAAGCAGTGATAAGTTGGAACTGACCCATATCAGCTTACAAATTAATTGTGCTTAACTCTCCCCCACCCCCATACCACTCCCAGTTTCACATTCAGTGATTTCAGGTTGGTAGCTTTGAATCAACCACAGTGTAGTTATTTACTGGCAAATGTTCAGTCAGGGCCTTTCCATCCACACAGTGATTGTTGCTTACCATTATATCCACAGACTTATCCTTTAATCTGAGTGCTTCCTTTATGGTATCTCAAGGGATTCATTTAATATTGAAGTCTTCTGGCTGGAAAGTCATGTATCTAAGTCATTGTGCTAAGTAAGAGTGGCACAAACCTGGCAATGATCTCTCTGTGTTCACATAACTAAGTCATATAGCTTCTCTGGTTTTAAGACAACGTTTTCAATATCCTGGAAGCTTTTCCCATTTAAGTGTTCAGTAGGACAGTCATGACTATAGCCCGGGACTTCACTAATTGTTGACACTGTATAAGATGCACTACGGAGAGCATCAGGATGAGAAAAACTGTTTCCGAACTGGATTTTGTATTGATTCCAGTTTCTTCTCAGAATTGCCTGAACCTAACAACCAAAAAGACAGAAACAACATCAATCCATTAATTAAAATATTACATATGGAGCACAATAAAATAAAGCATTGTAGAAAAGCTTTCATTTTTCTTATAAAACTAACTAAAAATGAAGTTTGATGAACTATCTTTAATGAATCCCTTCAATGGCTCTATGTTTAATATTTCATCAATAGTTTTCACTTGGTATATTTACTTTGAAGTTTCAAGAATACATATGTGAGTATTGTTAAGTCTATAATTAATATTATGTAAGATTACATATACATTTAGTTTTATATAAATTATATGTACATCTAATTTTACATCTATATTTAAGTTAGTAGGCAATTCATGGGAGGGTTTAGACAATGGGAAAGGTACCAAATTTTTACAAAGATGTTAAGGATACAGAGAGTGTAAATCAAGGTCCACATAAGCAGCAACAGAAACTTTTTATCAAGAAAGTATCATGTGCTAGAAATTGTGCTACATTCTAGAGGGAAAAGAGCAGGGTATTTGTCCTCATGAAGCTTGCTTCCTTAAGGAATATGGGACATTGAACAAATAGCTTTACATGAGAGAAATATTGTAGAAATGTTTAAAAATGACATTTCTTCATATTTATTATGAACATAACCTCCTCTCTATGAGTGAATTTAAGTTTAATGATTCTTCAGTCTTTTCTGATTGAGGCTAGACATCAAGACTAAGTGAGCTCCATACAGTTTGGTTTTAGTTTTACTGAAGACAGTGAAAGGATCTTCTTCATATTGAGTCAAGGAACTTGAACTTGAATGAGAATATTCAGATAAACCTGAACTCTGTCATCTTGATGTTTTCAGGATGGGTGTGTAGATGGGTTTGGAGTTCTGTTTTTCAGGTTATATCCTTATCCTTGTGGCTGATGGATGTCTGATTAAAGTGTGTACACTGTTTGAATGGTCTTTCCTAAGCTCTCTACTGCACTTTGACCTTTAGTTTACCTCGCCAAAGGGAATTTGAACACCTGTAATTTCCAAGTGATTCATGCACTAATAACATGGTACTTGTGCAATGATTGTTCAATTTACAAATCTTTATATGGAATTCCTCAACTTTCTAGTCACGACATTCATGTCTACAAATAAATATGGAATTTTCAAAAGGTATTAAGTGCCGGGCACTGGTAGCTTACTCCTGAAATCCTAACTACTCAAGAAGCTAAAATCTGAAGTTCAAGGTTTTAGAAGCCAGTCTAGACAAGAGAGTCTGTGAGATTCATATCTCCTATTAACCACTAGAAAAGCCAGAAATGCAGCTGTGGCTTGAGTGGTAAAAATGCTAGCCCGAGCACAAAAGCTCAGGGACAGCACCAAGGCCATGAGTTTAAGCCCAGGATAGGCACAGACACGCACACACACACACACACACACACACACACACACACACACACACACACCACACACACACACACACACACACACCACACAAGCAAAAGTATTAATGATTTATTTTAATGTTCTAAATTTTATGTTCTAAATTTTAAAAAGTAAGTAACAAGAATTTCCAGGTGATGGAAGTTTCATGGGATACTTTAATGTGAGCTAAGGTCTCCTAGGTTCTATCACCTAAAATGAACACAAAATTTTACTATGTCATTTCATGTTTTGCATAGAAGGAAAGGAAGATCTAATATAAAGTTTAGTTTTAACTCAAAATGAGTATTAAAATTACATGTCTGTAGTTCAAAAATTACAGAATTAAAGTGGTAAATTTAGTTACAGAAGTAGATCAGTATGAAGTTCAACAACTTCAAAATCTTCAAGCACATTTTTAATGTATGTCATCAAAGCTAAAGATCCAATTTATGTGAATGTGCTTTGAAAACAAAAGTATTTGTAGGACAAGTGTACTTATAAAAATATAATTTGCTTTCCGTAGGTTTAGTAATTTTAAATACCACAAATAAGATACTTAAATTAAAGTAATTTAATATCCACATGAATAATATTAGTACATAAGCAAATGATAAGTCAAATGGTTTTATATTGGGAATTTAAAATAAACATTCAGAGATTTATCAACAAAATGATACTTTTAACCATACTTATCTACAAACTTTTGATGGAAATAAACTTTTATTTTTATTGTGTGTGTGTGTGTTTGTGCGTGTGTGTGTGTGTGTGTGTGTGTGTGTGTGTGTGTGTGTGTGTGCTGGCAGTGAGGCTTTAACTCAGGTTCTGGACAATATCCCTCAGCTTATTCCCTAAGGCTAGTACTCTACCACTTGAACCATACCTCCTCCATCTCTAGCTTTTTGCTGGTTAATTGAAGATAAAGAGTACCATAAACTTTCCTACCTGGGCTGGCTACAATCTTGGACAGTATCAGATCTCAGCCTCCTGAGTAACTAGGATTATAGTCATAAGCCACTGGTGTTTGGTTGAGAAATAAAATTTTATCCAGATACTTTTCTACTTCATAATTTTTAGCTTAATGCTGTGGTGATTGAATACAGAACCTACACAGCCACAGGTTGAATGGAAGTAAAACATTACTTCCTATAAAAGATTCCACATAAATGTTGAGAAGAACCTGACAGGAAGTAATACATTTGCTGTGAGACCAGTATTTGTAGTTCATAAAAGGAAAGCTAACTCAATTCTAAAACCCAAATGGCTTTTGAAATATTTGGATGTTTGCTCTTGAAATATCTTTTGATTCAAGTCATTACCCTGTTTCTTCTTTACAATTATATCATCAGAAAAACCATGAAAAAGCTAATGTCCTGAACTCTAGTTTCTTAGTTACTGAAGTTAAAAAAAACCCCAATTAAAGACCCACAGGCCTTGTAGACTTCTGTTTATATTATTCTCCAAAAGGATGTTATTTTTTTCATTTGCTTCCTCTAATAAAAGATTACAGTTATTCAAGAGAACATTAAAGTGACCATTCAGTAAGTTTCAATGAAAAAAAAATGAAGTGAAATGACTCTATTAGTTACAAATTTGTATATAAGCATTATGTGAACAATAATATCAAATGTTTAGAATGTAACATTCTGGCTTTATATGCTCATTATCACGTGATTGGGAAAATAGTCTATAGTACTTAATCTAAATTGATTTTTAAAATTTAACATAGCTTTGTAAAGTTATCTATTTTGTTCCCTTTACAGAATGTAAGTACAGTTCAACAAATGTTCTCATTCATTTTACAAATATACCTACTCTCCATTGTTAAATATGTCTTTTTGATGACCAGGGTCCCCAGGATATGTTAGGAGTAAATATTTTTGTCTGTGGATTAGGAAGTGATATAGTGGCCAGATTGCTTGCAAAGCCAGTTATTTAACTAATGCTTAGAAACGTTAAGAGGAAAATGTTGGCTTAAAATTAAACAAAGGTGAAAGTAAAAATAAATACAGATATTAAACAAAAGTCAAGTTCTTGACCTAATGTGGAAAGCTAGAAGAAATCTAAGCCTGAGCAATGGATTTGCAGACCAACATGACATAGTTGGAACCACACAAACTGAATTTGGCAGCTTTCTTCCTGTTACTCTGTTAGGAGAATGGGAAAAACTAAAAGGCAAAGAGACAAAAAGGGAGGGATTATAGTATTTCTTAAGATAAGAGGTGACTCATACTTAAATGGGGATTGCAGCTCCAGAGATGAAGAACAGGGGATATTAAAGATGTTGTGAAAAACTGACGGATTTGGCCACTATCTAGCTGAAAGAGTTTTTCATTATTATAATTTTCGAGTGCCAAAATGTTCTCAATTTTAGGACAGGCTTAAGAAGAGAGTATTGTGTGTCTTTTGTTTACCCAGCTAAAAATGCAACTGGAGTATAAGGCATTAATTTCAATATTTCTTGGGCGTGTTTTTATAAACAGAAGGGCCAATTTAAAATTTTGATTCCAGTAAGATTACTGTTTCTACTTAAGAATTTATTTTCAAAAATCACTTATTTGATAAATCTAACATTGGTGTTATAATACAAGAAGGATAGTGTGTGAGTAGAACATTATACAAAAACTTTGCATAAATCCTCAGGAGGTTTGCTTGAAGCACTTACTATTTTTTTACCTTTAGTAAAGGTAGACACATGTTCCTAATTCATAGCATTTCATAAAGTAAGTTAAAAAGAAAATAACATCATTGGAGTTTAAATGCATTCTTATGCTGATGTCTCCTGACTCATAATATTTTGTTTAACTAATATTAGCCTTTTATTTATCATTATTAATAATGATCTAATCTTTTCTAAACAGTGATTCTGTTTTGAATATTTAAAAAATACACTCATTTGTTGTGTGATACTGAGGTATACCTTCATATGTCATGCATGTTCTCTGGCACATGTCATCAATAGAGTCATCAATATCTGTTACATCCTATATAGGCAATGCTTCTATAGAGATACTTCTATACTTCTATAGAGATTCTATAATACTTCTATAAAGATTCATAACAAAGGCCATTTCAATTTTACAGATTGAAACCAATAATCCCCAATTAAGTTTTCTGTCTACACCTTTCATGACTTTAATCCTGTCTTTAGAGAAGGTTCAGGAAACTAGCAACTAAATGTATGAAATGTAGTTTATGCTGACATTTCTGTACACTATCATAAATAAATGAATTTATGCTATACAAATCTATACTTTGAAATTAAAATATTTTTAAATTTCTAAATGAAAGACAAAGCAATGGAAATTATTATATACCAAGATAGTTAAAAATTTACTTAAACAGAGAAAACCATATTTTATAGTTTTTTTCATGAAATGTATGGGATTTCCAGTGTGGATTTATTTTCTAGGAATGATTCTCATAATGTTATGCCAATTAGTTACATGTGTTCCCCATCTGAAGCATTGTGATAAGCTTCCAGTTATCAAGTATCTATGTCTCACTCAGTTGGTCTCTGGATTTCTAAACTTTGCTTAATTTTGCCAACATCTTCATGGCTACAATTGATCAAGTAGATTAGAAACATAAAAAGCGAAAACAACAAAGCTCAAACGACTGAGCTATAACAATATCCATATGCACAAGAAACACAGAAACAGTTTTCAAAATTCCTGATCTCCATGGTTTGGATAAAAATCCACCAGTATCCAAGAACACAGTATCATGTTGCGAATCAAAGCATTCAGTTCTGAATGTCCTGACACACTGCATCTCCTCCCTGCAGAATGGAGAGTTTAATTCCTTTCAGTCTTTTTTATATCTACTTTAAAACATTTCCAAAGGACACATTGTGAAGCAGACAAAGAAAGAAAGGAGGTCAATGAGCAGGTTCTATTTCTTGTTAGATTGTATGTTCTATGAAGTTAAGGAATATCTAGCACTCTTCTAAGGACAATCTCTGGATGTGGAATCCCAGTGATAGGTCAGAAGATTAAATGAATAAGAGTCATTGACTGGTTATTTTAAAGTAAGGCTGATTTTCCCCTACCTTTAAACTACAACATGACCTGAACTTTTGACAGATGTGTTCTTTTCTCTGCTGAAAACTGACTTTGAAATGATTCTTTGGGAGTTTATAATTTATATTCTCTCTCTCTCTCTCTCTCTCTCTCTCTCTCTCTCCCCCTTCCTCCCCCCTCCCCTCCTCGTCCTTCTCTTCCTCCTCCTCCTTCTCTTCCTTCTCCTCCTCTTCCTCCTCCTCCTCCTCTCCATCCTTGTTCTCAGGTTTTGAAATTAAGAATTCATAGTCATACTAGGCAAATGTGAACAATGCCTCTGGCTCATTTTAATTTTTGAGATGGGATATCACATTTATGCTAGGGCCAGCCTGGATAGATATTTTTCTGTTCACGCCAGGTATCTAAGATGACAGGCATACCAGCATGCACAGGATTTATTGGTTGAGGTATAGTTGCATGAAATTTTAGCCTAAGTTGGCCTCAAACCATGAGCCTCCTGATCTCTGCTGCCAAATAGCTAAGATTATAGGAATGAGACACTGTGCATAACTTCCATCTTATTTTTCTATTGGGGACACATTTATAATAATGAAGAGTAAAATCAATTAACATACCTCTCCATTGAAAAAGCAGAAAATTGTAGAAACCAAAAGACCCTGTAAAGAAAAATAAAAATATTTGAATCTAAATAAAGGACATTAATGTATTTATAGTCAATTTGCTGGGTAGAGTCACTTAAAAAAGCATTATGGACATTAAATGCTGAGCCTTCAGTTGTCCTGGTAATGTTCAAAATGCCATACCTGATAGTGCATAAGAATGTGCATGATGTAGTCATACACTTCCTCTGCAATCCGGCCTTCAGGTCGCCATGGAATCAGCACAAACTCAATGCCAAGCAGTGGCACAAGAATGAGCGTAGCTCTCACAGCTTTCATGTAGAGATTGGACTCAGCTTGGTGGGTAACTTTCAACTTGGTGATGAGAACACGTACGATATTTAGTAGGAAGAAAAGGTTCACCTAAAGAGAAGATAGAAGGGTGTTTACAATCATTTCGTTTTTAGTATTTAGAATCATTACTAGAACTCTAATTTTGTAAATCTTAGGATATATGCAATGTACAAGAGCATGTATATTTGTATCTCTGGAATTATGAGATTCATCTTATAAGTATGTTGATATAAATGAATTTAACTTATGAAAATAAAATTATTGTACAATGATGGTGCAACACAGTTGTGAAATAGTTGAGAGTTTTTCTTAACTAATTTTCTCATGCATTTAACATTTTTTCCTATGGTCCCCAAACTAAATTTTTAGCTTAAATAATTATTTTTAATGTTGGTTTTTAAAGTAGCACCTCAGTCACAATCTATATTTTATGGTTTAAAACATATATAGTATATAGTTATGTTAACGATTTTCATCTTTTTCATTTGCTTTTTATGTTTGTAATAGTAATCCTTATATTTTCCTAACAATTTTCCCTCTCAAATAGTACTGTAATTTTCTTTATCCTTATCAAGAGGCTCTCATGCCATTGAGCAAGCTGCTAGTCAATGGAGATTATCTAAGTAGAATTATTTACATTCAGTAAGACCTGCAAGCACTCACTTTCTGCAATTATATATTTACTACAGATTATATATTTACTAAGCATTGGGATAGTATGCTTTTTAAAGTATGACTTCGAATATACAATATGATTTGTGAAAGTCTTGTTGGACCAAAAATATTTCTCTGTGTGTGTGTGTTTGTGTGTGTCTGTTTCTCTATTCTTTCTTCTCCTCTCTGTCTCTCTGTCGTCTCTCTGTCTCTGTGTGTGTGTCTCTCTCTCTTTCTCACTCTCTTTTCCCCCCATGACATAAATCCTTATTTCTTTCACGTCTGTCCTCTTGTTCAGTGCTCATTCCCTATCCTGTCATAATGGACACTAACACAAAAAGTCACATTATTAGTTTCCTCATTTTTTTTCCTTACTCTTACCTCTAGCCTCTGCTGTCTTTGTTTAACAATCTTAAAAATTCAAAACACAAGCCCACATATAATTTATATACATATATTTCAATAAATTTGAAAAGTAACTGTAACATCTCATTTTAGCATGGAAAATAAACAAGTAGCACATTTGGTAATTGAAAGGATTTGTCATGAAAATTGGATATAAAAATATTCCACTACTATTCTTAGAGAATTCAACATAATATACATATTAAAAATATACTGTTCACCAGAACCCTAATGACACACATCTAAGGAAAGAAACATGTTTATACACACAAGGATACATAAAGAAAAAGCAGAAGTCATGTGAACAGGAATAATGTAAAACAAAATAAACTAGCAAGTCAGTGGTTCTTGTTCATCCCAGTGTACTCCCTCTCTAAGCACTCATTGCTATTTTAAAATGTTTCAACTAACTGGGTGCTGGGGGCTCATGCCTGTAGTCCTAGCTACTCAGGAGGCTGAGACCTGAGGGTCCTGGTTCAAAGCTAGCCCAAGCAGGAAAAGTCCATGAGACCCTTATTTCCAATTAATCACTAAAAAGGGCAGAAGTTGAGCTATAGTTCAACTTGTAGAGCCCTAAGCTTGAGCAAAAAAGCTTAGGGACCATGTACTGACATTGAATTCAAGCTCCAGGATCAGCATCAAAAATAAACATTTTGACTACATTTAAATTAAAGCTTGTCCCTAGATGAAAAGATATAGTGTCTATTTACTTGATTATGATTTATAATAGTAAACACATTAAAATCTTAATATATAAAATCAAAGCTTTTAAAACAGTGAAATATTACAATTCAGACACATATTACATGAAAATTTCTTAATTATAAAATACGTCCTCTAAGTGGTACATCTTATCTACAATGTGAAATCACAAACTAGAATTAACAAAGGAACTTATCTTTGCCTTAGTTACACCTTAAACAGCCAACAGGGTTACTGTGTATTATTCTCCACGACATATCCACATAATTGTGATCTTTACATATTACTTTATTTTCTGTAAAGTGTCAAGCAAAAATAGACTAATAATTTCCAATTTCAGGTGAATTTCATTGAATTTACAACACACCTAGTTAAGAGGAAACCAATTTTTGCTCTGACATTCATAAATTTCAAGAGCTGGTTAACGCAGACATCTTCAGACCACTATATCACCCCAGAGGCTCAAAAGGAAGCAGAGTAGATCAGCACAGTGTCTATATGAAGATTTTTGAAAGACATTTTCCAGTAAGTGTGACCAGTCATTCCTTAAACATATCCTGAAGTGAACTAAGGATGTCACACTGAACTCTATTTAAGTGTGTCCTCTCTCAGCTTCCCTTTAGCAGAATCTTTAAATGCTTTATTTCACTTCAATGCCACCCTGCTCAAAGGGAAGTCTGATTGAGGAAGTCAGCAGAAAGCGACTGATTGTGGTTAAGATGATTTATAAAAATTCTGCAAAGACTTAAGACATGAACAATGACTAAGGCCCTCCCAAGACCTTGAAAATTGTCTGGACTACTGAGGAGTGAAAAAGGGAAAAACAAATGGTCAAGATACAGTCTCTCAAAATCTTGCTTTAGGCTGACAAGATGCAAAGTTCTATATGAATAAAGTGAATATTCACTTCCTTCCTTTCTGAGCAGCTTGATGAGTTGGGTTTCTTTATGGCAATTCACTCAGGCTACATCATCTATCTTCCTTCCCAAAGTTGATGTAGACAGGCTTTTCAGAGGACTGGATAAACTGCTATTGCAGTCTGGATTTGTGCTTGTATTTCTTGAATCTCTCTGGAGTAGAAGTTTTAATTGCCTGTCTCATTGTAAGGCAGATCATTTGTAATGACATGCGGCCTCGTATTTGTTCTGGAATCTACTGGGTGGCTAAACACTGCATCTTAATTTCCTTACAGAGAGGTTTAAAACAAAGCAAAAGAGAATGTTCCCTAAAACCTACACCCAGCTGTAATAAAGCCAAGACTCAGTGTTTGCTCTGAGGACAAAGAATACAAAGCCAGGCTGTCTAGGGGTACACTGAACTCAGTGTGTTGCACATGCCCATATTGTGAAAAGGCTGTAAGAGAACGATGTGTTTCTACCTTTGAGTTTTCTAGGAGAATCTACATTAAGTTAAATGGTCACAGAGAACACAAAGTATCTATGTGTTGATGTTTGGACTGGCTGAGGGGTCAGGAACAAACCAGAAAGTGGACCCTTAATTAGTGCTAACAGCATTCCAGGCTAAGTATTTTATGCATTAACATATTTAATCCTCATTAAAAACATAAAATCACTACTTATTTTGTTTCTAATTGGCATAATACTTATACTGATTTGTGGTATGATGTTATAATTTGATACATGAGTAAATGCATGGTCAAATCATTTCTATTTCCTCAAATACCACCATCTCTATATACATGTCAGAACTTTCAAACTCCATTATAGCAATCCTGAAATAATTAGTCATTGTAGAGACTCTTTTTGCCCTACTATACTAATAAGACCTTAGAATTCCTACCTTTTCTCTATTTGGATACTGACTGTCCATTCTTGGTATTTCTACTGTAACCCACCCTAGCTTCTAGAGACCTCTACTTGTTTATTCTTTAAAAAAAAAACTTTCTTAGCTTTCTGCTGTGAGTGAGAAGATACCATCTTTACTTTGGTCATATTATTACCATAATGTCCTTCATTCCATTCATATTGCTACAGATGACAGAATATCATCCTTTTTGTGTCTGAACAACAAACATTCTATTGTGTATGTACCATACATAGGTAGTGTATAAGTACATAAAAATCATACATAGTTTATAAGTATATACATATATGTACACTACATTTCTATCTATTCAATGACCAATGGAGATCTTGATTGAGTCTTCACGTTGGTTATGTGAATAGTGCTATATAAATCATAAGGTACAGGTTCCTTTGGTATGTTGAATTGTATTAGGTGAATAGTTTTGTATTTTGCTGTTGAGTTATTTGACTCTCTCTTGGGTGGTAACCCTTGTGGCATACAAATTTCCTTCTTCTTCATGTGCTTATCTAGTTTTCTTAACCCAGTTTCTTGAAATGACATTATTCTTTAAAACTAGCTTGATGATGGTGACAGAGATTGTTAAGTTGCATATGTGGGTAAAGAGCTGAATTCTAATTTGGGTTTTTATTTCTGTGTGTGTGTGTTATAGTAATACCCTATATTAAATATTATAGTTTTATATTATGTTTTAAAGTCAGGTACTTTGGTGCTTCTAATATTGTTTTGGGTTCTACATTGCTTTGCATTTTCTGGATTGTGAGGGCCCTTATGAACTTTGTGTGTCATTTTCAGTTCTTTGAAAGATACCATTGATACCTATGATAGGCATTATATTGAAATTGGGGATTGATTTGGACAGTATACACACTTCAACTATATTGATGCTTCATATCCAACAGCATAGTATTGGTTTCCAAAATCGTGTCATGATAATTTTATATGATTTTTGTACTTTATATAATTCTAGATAATGTTCACTGTTGGCTTCCTTAGTTCAATTTCTTTTTAGGACTATCTGGAGTGTGTGTGTTTGTGTGTGTGTGTGTGTGTGTGTGTGTGTGTGTGTGAGTGGGTGAGTGTGTTGTGAATAGGGTTGCATTTATTTGCATTTATTTCTTTTTCAGCCAATTCCTTGTTAGCATTAAGGTTACTATTGCTACAGAATTACCTTTTTAATCAGGATATATTTTTAAATGCCATAGCAAAGGTACATTTTTCCAGATCTGTTTGATTAGTATTCTAGCATAACCACATACTAAATCGAAGTTAGAAAACACAATAAAATAATACAAAAATCTTTGTGCTATGAAGAGCCTAAAAATAAGAGTTGAACTTGAGAACTTATCTTTTTATATCTAACTACCAGTAGCAAATAAGGCACTGCTCTTAGAAAATGGAATTGCCTTAGAATCTCTGACTCCCTATGAAAGAAAACATGTTAGTATGTATAAATTTATTGCCAGTCTCAAATGTGGTAATGGCAGCATCAAATGTATAAATTCCTGTTTCCCTTATACACACTTAAAGATGTCCAATTAGTATAATTATTTTAAGTGATCATTATAATAATGAAATAGGTTCACTTATACTCTTTTCTGTTATTGGTGGTATTACTCTTACCTGTATGTGTTCTTTTCTATTGTTTGTCTTGTCCACTTATTTTTCCAATTCTGCTCTGTGCCCAAGAGGTCACAGCTGTGGACTGTAATGTCACTCAGGCTTTCTTGACCTCTGATATTTATGGCACTTTGCTAATGAGAGGAACCAAGGTATTAGAGCATGGGAAGAGACAGCTCTTGAGCTTGAGTGTTTGCTTCTGCTTTGTCCTTGCCTGGTTGTAGTTTTAGCTCTGACTGTTTTGCTCTGCTCAAGGACAACGTTCTTATCGGTACCTTTTCCTCTTCCTGGTACTTGTCCATTAGCACTGGTCTGTTCAGGTCAGGTTGCAATAGCAGCTTCCTGATGGTATGCCTCACCATTACTTGAATTAGTTCATTTGCTTTTCCTGCCTGCACCTCCAATATAACTCCTTCACTGCAAGTACACCATCTCTGACTTCTGAGATCCTGAACAATATAATATCCACGAGCTCAAAACATATGAGCCAAAGTGAGACCAAGGATTTTAATTACCTACCAGTAAAGCAGCACAAATAGGACCATGGATAATGTAGAGGAGATGGGTATCAGAACTGATCCAGCAACTAGGGGGAAAAGAAAGCATTATGTTAAAGACTTTGTTTTACTTTGTTTCAAAAGAAATTATAAAGAGAGATTATCTTACTTGTCATTGTAATATAAACTTCTAGCAATGGCATGGATACAAGCAGGAATGAGTGGAAATCCTATAAGTATCAGAGCAAAAGAAAATAGTCAATTTTCCTTATAACATAGAACTCCTAAAATAGATCATGAAACATGAACTTCAGATATTCTTCCAGCAAAAAAATGACTGGCCACCATGAAACCACCGAGAAAATATTATTGCTATAAGCCAATAACTTAGATTTTTTGTTTTTATATATATTTGTCTATATTTATATATGTGTGTGCATTATATGCTAATATAAAATATTATTATTATTATTATTTTGTCAGTCATGGGGCTTGAACTCTGGTCCTAGGCACTGTCCCTGAGCTCTACAATTCAAGGCTAGCTCTCTACCAGTTGAGCCACAGTGCTACTTCTGGTTTTCTAGTGGTTTATTCAAGATAAATGTTTCATGGACTTTCCTGCCAGGGCTGGCTTTGAACCACGATTCTCAGATCTCAGCCTCCTGAGTACGATTACAGGCATGAACCACTGGTGCCCGACCTATAAATTATTTTGAATAAGTCCTAATTTGCTACCTAAGCCCAAAGTTCGGCATCACTTGATTGATAAGAATAAGCAAAAATTTATATGTCCTTTATGAATGACTAATGTAATTTCTATGTCTCTATAACAAAAGGCCTCTTCTACAGGCTTTCTTTATCAGTTAATTCCATAAATGTGAATAATTGCACTTACCCCAGCCAAGAAAATAATACCACATCAAATGTTGCTTCTCAGCAAACACAGCCACGACAATGAGTGTGTGGAGGTAAATCCCTTCACAGAGCATCCAGAAGTAATTGCAGCCCATCAGGTAAAGGTGAATAAACTGAGACACTTTACAACTCACCTGTGAAGCAAAAGAAACTTCATGAGTCTTCATCTAAAGCTTCAGTCTAGTTTATTTCAGGAAACATGGACTTTCTGTTCTGCAAACACTTCATACATAGACAGATTGTCAGATATGTAAAATGACAGTCTTCATGTTCATCTAATGGTGCCTCTGCAGACTTAAGCTATAGATTCTAAAGGCCTCTAAGTCTGTCACCCAATCTGTAAATATCCAAACTACCTCATTTGTAGATGAGAATGTTTGTTTTCCTAATGTATTCTGGTTATATAATTATATATATAAACATTTTCCACATGTAAAATATGATATCTCTTTTAGTAGTCAAACTTACTTGTTGCATATTCCATTAGAAAAATGTAGCATGTCTAAAACAATTAAAAATGTCACATACTTGGAAACATTTAGATACTACATGCTACTGGAAATATTATTTAGCCAGGAACTGATGGCTCATTCCTGTTATCCTAGCTACTCAGGAAGCTGAGATTTGAGGATCATGATTCAAAGCCAGCATGAGTAGGAAAGTCCATAAGACTCTTAATCTCCACTGATTCACCAGAAAAACTGGAAGTGGAGCTGCTAAGCGCAAAATGGTAGAATACTATCCTTGAGTGAAAAAGTTCAGGGGCAGTATACAGGCCCTGAGTTCAAGCCCCACAACTGACAAAGATAAATAAATAAATAAATAAATTTTAAAAAGAAAAGAAAAAAGAAACATTAATAATATAATGAGCCTATCCACTCTCCCATTGAAATATGAAATTAGGGCTGGGAAGATGGCTCAGTTGTAGAGCGCTTGCCTTGCATGCATGAGGCCCTGAGTTCGATTCCTCAACACCACATAAGCAAAAAGAAAAAAAGCCGGAAGTGGCGCCATGGCTCAAGTGGTAGAGCACTAGCCTTGAGCTGAAAAGCTGAGGGACAGCACCCAGGCCCAGAGTTCAGGCCTCACAACTGGACCCCCCACCCTCCAAAAAAGAAATATGAAATCAGATTTTTCATGTGGACTTGAAGAGGAAAAAATATGATTTCTTGTCTTCTACTTTATCTTCTATTTTAGAGGCAGGAAGAAGGAGCTTCACATACTGAATTAAAAAAAGTGGGAAAGAATAAACAATATAGCTTTATTCTTTACCAAGAAGAATTAACTTAAATTTCTCCTAGAAATACAAATTAGTGCCATTAGCTCATTTCTAGCCTGAAATGCAATAAATACTTGGTGAAAATTATTATTATTGAAATATTTCTTTTGTTGAATACCATAAGTCAACACCACTGAAACAAATATCAGATTAACATGGAAGAGTAACAATCACATTTGCATAGTAGTTAGCTTAAAAATGTGTGTATATACAACATTTATTTAATCCTTACAATAATTGTGGCTGGTATTATAGAACAAAAATTGAATACTGGAAAAGTGAGATGATTTGTTAATATTCATATATAACATCTATCAAAACTATAAACTTTATATAATTTTGTTATTAGCATCAATAATGTTACTGAAAATTTTGATACTAATAATATTTCATTGTGAATGGTATATATTGATCCTTTTCTCTCTTAATTTGTCTCTCTCTACATAGAATTATGACATTAAATTTTAAATAATGTACTTTTATGTAAAATTTATTAAAGTCTTGATTTCATGAAAAATTACAGACTTATGGTAAAATAATTTAGAGCATGCTTTTGAAAAATATTTCCATGCATGGAATTGGTTATATAACCAGATAATAAGTTAGTATACAATTAGATAATATATGTATATATATTAAGTATAAACACATATTTTTCTGTGTATTAAACCTAACATCCTTGTACTGAACATAAGACTTAGAAACTCTTGTTCTGCAGCTTTGTAGCAGAATTGAATCTTCTTACTTCAGAGAAACTCACTCTCAAACAGCAGGAGGGAAGCCAAGTTTTTTTTTTTTTTATTGCTAATTATACCCCAGTGTGTTTCCTAAACCTGTGACTTTAGACTGGAACTTATACAAGATTAAACAATCCGGATGCACATGTGCAAACAATGTAGGGAATTTTAGGACTTTGGAAATTACCCTAAAACACACATATTAAAACACATATTAGGGTATTGTTCATTGACCCATTGGATAAAAATTTCTTTCCTCTGATTTCAGTACTAGATACCTTAATCTTTAAAAATAACATTTCATATATACTTGTCCATAGACACACAATCTACATTCAAATCCCACTATTTTCACAAACACTGTTTAAAAAAAGGATCCTAAAATTTTGAATGCTTTTGTTATTAGTACAGATATTTTAAATCAAATATAACTTACATGTGAATATAGATTGCATAAAATATGTAAAAATGACTAAATAAAATTGAATTTGTGTTTTAAACATGACTCCTAGAGAAACAGTTTTTTAGAAACAATGAGGTATTGGTAAAGATTTTCTAAATTTTAGCCTACTTATGTTTAGTATTGTATATGGAGTATATAATACATTATTTTTCAAGTTTTATTGATGTTTAACGTCAGCCTGGGGGGCTGGAAAGGTGGCTCAGTGGTAGAGCGCTTGCCTTGCATGCCTGAGGCCCTGGGTTTGATTCTTCAGCACCACATAAGCAAAAAGAAAAAAGCTGGAAGTGGTGCTGTGGCTCAAGTGGTAGAGTGCTAGCCTTGAGCTGAAGAGCTGAGGGACAGCGCCCAGGCCCATAGTTCAGGCCCCATGACCGGACCCCCCCCCCCAAAAAAAAGTCAGCCTGATATCAAAAGTATAATTTCATTTAAAATTCTCATTTTCATATCTTTCAAATCACTCAGTGAGTTGCTTTGATTGGCTTTTAAATTAGATTGCATTAATATTGAATAGTCACAGCCCTGTATCCCAACAAACCAAAATGCTACAGCCATAAAAAGAGCTGAAGTTACAAGATCATTCTTTTGAAATTCATTTTGGCATCCTAGGCAATACTGAGAAGTATTCACCTCTAAAAATTATAATATGGTTACTATGTGTGCTCATTATAGGTCAGGTCTGAAAATAAGCATGTATATCTACTTCCTTTTACACACACACACATACACACACATACACACACACATACACACACACTTTCACACATTACATATATCAGCACACTAAACCCTACCTTGACTCTCCCATCTTCCCTGCTAATCCTCTTGAACTTGAAACTAGAACCTTATTACTTACTGGATTGGTGGCTACTAAGGCCTGGTTGTTGGCTACAGCAGTGAGGTGGATGATTGTTACAATAGAGTTACAAACAAAAGAGAAGAACAGATTTTTGTGCAAGGTAATCCTCTGGCAACCGAGACTCCTACAAGGCAAGAAAAAGTGTATTGATATCATAAAATGTCTCCATGCTTTTAAACAAATCATCTTTCAAAGAAGGTACATTATCAATTCTAGAAGCTGCTCTAATTTTAGAAGAGTTGCCTTTTTTTTATTCTGAAAATACTGTACAGAGGGGTTACAATTGCATAAGCATGGTAATGACTACATATCTTATCAAGCATTGTTGCCTCCTCCTTTGTTTCCCCTTCCCATCTACTCCCCCTTCTCCCCCCACCCCCCGCTCCTCTCTCCCCCACCACCAAACTTGTAAAGTTCGTTTTTCGACATAATGTCTTATACATCTCGTTGTTGCAATAGGTCCACTTGTATCTCTATTTAAACAATTGGTTTTTTTTCCCTTCCCCTTCTCTAATTATACCAACATCAAATACAGTGAAAACAGGAGTTATGCCGTGGGGGAGGGACATACAAAGCAACAAAGAAATATCTTATAAATATGTTAGAAACAATAGCAAGCAAGAAAAAACATTTGAGCCCTAATTTTGGGGTTCATTTCGCCTAACATCAACTTATCTGACCTTTTCTGCTTGTCTCAGACATATACTAGCTATTGCAAAGAAGGGAAACCATGGGACCTATGTTTCTTTGGGCCTGGCTTACTTCACTTAATATAATTTTTTCCAAGTCTTTCCATTTCCTAACAAATGGGCAATGTCATTCCCAGCAATCCCACTTTTGGGCATTTACCCGAATGACCACAAACAAGACCATACTGAAGCTACCAGCACAACTATGTTTACTGCAGCATTATTTACCATAGCTAAGAAATAGAACCAACCCAGATGCCCCTCAGTAGATGAATGGGTAAAGAAAATGTGGTATATACACAAAGGAATTCTATGCCTCCATCAGAAAGAATTGCCTTTTTTCTTCCTAAACTTTATTCATAATAAATTTTTAACTAGGGAAAGCTTCTTATGGTTTAAATTCAGAAGCAAATGAGTTTAATAAGGTAAACACTTGAAGAGTTTAGAAATTCACCTCTATAATAACTCTACATAATTTTCTCTGTTAACATGTATGTAGATACTCACAGAGAAAATGTATAATTTTTTTTAACCACAGGCATTTGCTCAACTGTAAATTTGTGTGTTTTGTTGTAGTGATAATACTGACCAATCATGAGAAGGTGAATGATTGTAATTAGAAGTAATGAACTGTGTCAAAAGTATAGACTAAAAATAGTGAGATTTATTCAGCACTGTTGATTTTTTTCTTATTGTGTATACACAGAAACATACACACCCACATATCTATGATATATATACACAGTTATATCATGTAGGACTAGTACATACTTTCATTGAAGTTATTTGTGCTTGAGATGAAGAATTGACCATGAAGAGGTGATGGACACTAGATTTGGAAAAGGGGTCAGATATGATAAGTGATGTTGCTTTTCAGGTTTACCCCACATTCACTCTAAGATTTTCTGCATATGGCTATATTACTCATGACAAAACATTACTTCATGAAGCATTTATTGAACATTTATTATGGGGGTCACATGTTAAGACAGAATAGAGTCTGTTTGAAGCCAAACATTTAATGTCAAGTCTAAACTTACATGTAGGAATAAATTGAGGCATTTCTTTACACTGACAAAAATATCACTTTGTATATTTTACTAATATATATATATATATATATATATATATATATAACTAAAATGATTATCCTAGATAATTCATGGTCTACAAGATTGCGATTTGAGGCCAACAGGGGCCGAAACGTTTGAAAGATTCTTAACTCCAATCAACCAGTAAATTACTGGTTTGGACTGTGGCTTAAGTGGTAGAGTGCTATCCATAAGCAAAAAAGACAAGCATGAAGCCCTAACAAAGCTCTGAGTCCAAACCTTGGTTGGTTCTCAAAAGAAAATAAAAAAAACTTCTACTTTGTAAACTTTAAGAGGATTTTCATCTAATTTTATCATTATATCCTTTATTTTAAAAAGAATACGTGCCATGATATGAGAATTACAATGGGACACCTAAAGAACCTATCCTTTTTTAGGCCAAACCATAAATATCTATTTAGGAAACCTGATATGAAGTTTACCTGTTCAAATTGCAATAAACTTGACCATTGCCAAATCATTTCACTTTGTGTTGTGAAAATGGATTCTATTCTCCAAAACATTAATCCAGTACTTTAGTTTCATCCATTACCTCTTGTAGGCATGTCAGAACTGAAATAAATGCACACACATGCTGCTTGACATATGGTTTCCATCAATCTCTAGTAATAAAAACGGCTCAGATTTTTAGTATTGGTGCATATTGTTTTCTTCTAACCATATTCATTAAGACATGTAAATGGACTGATACAAATGACATAAACTTTTAAATGAAACCCAAGATATATAATTCCTAAACAAATGGGATGTTTACAGAGACTTTAAAATTTCCACATTTTTTCCACTGTTAACCTACATCCAATTTTACCTGCTAAATTCTGAAATTTTCTCATTTTATTCAAAATATGAAACTAACTCATGTATTAGCTCAGAAGCATTTTACAAAATAAATATGTCTTTAAATTTAAAGTGTCTCTCTCATATGAACAAAATAGAATATAGAAAGCATGGTTTATAGGTTCCGATCATTTCCATTTCATGATCTTGACATGTAATGATTTTAAAGCAGCACTTTCATATGTAATTTTGGTATCAAAGCTATGGAGGTAAACTATGTGTTAACAGCTGTCATACTTTGTATGGAACAATTGCAAACAGACAGCACCAATTCAGTACATATGACTGACTTATAGTGGATTTTTGAAGCTGAATCTGAGAGTGAATCTGGAAGCTACCACTTCTTTTCAATATGACAAAGATTTCTCCTCTGATTTCCTCTGATTATTGATCTGTATTATTTATACTATATGAACCTTCATACAAGTGGCTTAAATTTTATTAGCTGACATTATATCTGTGCTTAGCATAAAATTTCAACTATACTGGGCACTCATTGTCATCTATTTTTTTTAAATACATGAGTACAGTAGTGGGTCTGTGGCTCAAAGTGGTAGAGTGCTAGACTTGAGCGAAAGAGCTCAGCGACTGTGCCCAGGTCCTGAGTTCAATCCCCACAACAACAACAAAAGATATGAGACCCTTGTCTGCTATATGGGTGGTGAAGATCTTCTCCCAGTCTGTGGGATTTCGATATATTTTGCCAGCTATGTCCTTTGTTGTGCAGAAGTGCTGCAGTTTAATGCAGTCCCACTTATCCAGCTTTTCTTTGATTTGTTGTGTTTCTGGATCTTTATTAAGAAAATTTCATGTTGTGCCAAAGAGCCCTAGTGTTTCTCCTATTTCTTCTTATAATATTTTCAAGGTATCTGCTTTTACCTCAAGGTCTTTGATCCATTTGGAGTTGATTCTGGTACAGGGTGATATATAGGTATGTAACTTTAGGTTTCTACATGTATTTAGCCAATTCTACCAACACCATTATTGAAGGGGCTGTCTTTCTTTCATCCTATTTTTTTTTGCTCCCTTGTCAATGATTAGGTGGCTGTAGGTCTGTGGGTTCATTTCTGGGTCTTTGAATCTATTCTATCGGTCCTCAAACCTGTTCTTGTGCAGTACCAAGCTGTTTTAAGTATGATGGCTTTGTATAGTTTGAGGTTTGATATTGAAATTCCTTCAGCATTGTTCTTCCTGCTAAGGATTGTTTTTGCTATTTGGGGTCTTTTGTTGTTGCATACAATTTTTGGATTGCTTCTTCTATTATATTAAGGAAAGAAGTTGAGATATTGATGGGTATTGCATTGAATTTGTATATGCCCTTCGGCAGTATTGCCATTTTCACAATGTTAATCCTCCTAGTCCAGGAACATGGAAGGTTATTCCACTTCCTGAGGTCGCTTTGATTTTCTTTTTCAGATTTTTGAAGTTTTCATTGTAGAGGTCCTTCACTTCTTTGGTTAAGTTGATTCATAGGGTTTTTTTTTATTGCAAAAGTTGATTCCTAGGTATTTTATTTTTTTAATTGCAAATGGAGTTGCTTTCCTAATTTCAGCTTCTCTCTTCTCATTGTTGGTGTAGAGCAAAGCTACTGATTTTTGTGGATTGATTTTATACTCTGCTACTTTGCCAAAGTTTTGGATCAGCTCAAGTAACTTGGGAATGGAGTCTATGGGATTCTGTAGATATAGGATCATGTCATGTGCAAAGAGGGAGAGTTTCACTTCTTTTCCTACTTGGATCTTCTTAATGCTTGTCTCTTGCCTTATGTCATATGATTTTCCTCATTTGAAAGAACTAGAATATAAATATGATACTCTTAACAGGGGATCTAAACAACCCAGGTGCTTAGTGCAAGTACTTTATATAATGAAGCATATTAACATGAACTACAACTTACAGAAACAAGAGGTTCTCATTAGAGCCTGTATATAGTTCATTCTTTTTCTCTATTTTTGTTTTTATTCTTTCTTCATTTCTCTTAGTTTTTTCTACCTTGTGTTTTGCATAATAGACAATGCAATATACGAAAGGAAAGGGAATCACAGTAACAGTAGAGCAATGGATGAACCACAGCAACATTGATACTCACTTGACACTATGTTGCATATGAACATGGCAAGGGGAGAGGGAGGAGTAAGTGGGAGATAAAAAGGAATGGAGTAACAATGATTAAAAACAAACGTACTTATTGCCTTACCTATGTAAATGTAACCCTCCCCTAACTCATCACCTTTTCAAGAAAAAAAGAAAAAAAAAAAGAATAAAAGGTGGATGACTATAGTGAAAGATTTCAAAAGATTTATAGAGAAAACTATAGATAAAATGATGGTTCATAGGTTTTAGAAACTGAAAAAGAATAAAGTGTTTCTGAGTTAAAAAAGAAAGAAAAGTAATACATAAATCATAATTATATGTCTGATTTAACTAAATACTGTAATATTTTTCTGCCTTGAGTAATAAAATAATATCATAAAATTATAGAGCTA